CACCGCAACTACTGTAGATGAAATGGTTCTACGACTTTGTCGCGATGTTGGTGTTTACCATGAAGATGATCCTAAGTCATCGTTGATTCTCTGGTTAAAAAATGTCAAATGCAAAGTCATTTTTGTTATGGACGACATCGACAACTTACTTGAAGAGAAGACAAGTTTCTACGAGTTTGTCCGCTTGCTGCGAAAGAATTCAAATCAGCATTGTCAGATTGTTACGACTTCCAGAACTTCCTGTGAAATTCGCGAACTCTTAACTGGTCAAGTTCAAGTTGACGAAATGGATGATGACGCATGTATCAAGCTTTTGAGAAAACAATGTCCTGATCAGGAAGATGAATTTTTGGGAAGACTGGCTGAACTTTGTGGCAAAATACCTCTTGCTATGTGCATCGCAGGTTCCCGAGTTGACGACTTTGAAAATTCTGATGAATTATTACAGCACCTACAAAACCAACCAATGAAGATTTTGGAATCTCCTGAGAGTGATCAGTACGTTTATCGAGCTATCAACATGTCTTATCAAAAGTGTTCTAGTGAAGAGAAAGAAACGTTGTGCCGTTTAGCAGTTTTCGAAGGAAACTTCAGCGAGGAGGCCGCCAGAGTCGTGATCGAGAAAGAAAATTTAGATACTAAACGTGTCTTGAAGAAACTTGTTCGCCGAAGTTTGATCAAACAACCAACCAAGCACCGATACTCCATTCACCTCCTGATCAAACATTTTTTAAAGCATCAACAAGAAAGCGAAAACGAAACAGCAGAAAGAGCGCGTGCACAAATGATGCGTGCGGAAGTGTTGATGGTTAAATACTACTTGAAGTTAGGACACGACTTAACTATGAAAAGTTACTCGAAAGATGGATACAAAGCAAACAGAGAAGCTTTAAAGCAGGAAGCGCACAACATCCAGAACGTGCTCAAAATTTGTTGTGAGCAGAAAGGTCCAAAAACCTCCGACATCTCTGACTGCCTTGCACACAGCAAAGTTTACACCACCTCAGCCAGATTCTTTTCACTCTTCGTTAGAACCATCATCCCTGGGTCCATCGTCGACGAGTTCCTACAACGATGCGCAAACCTGGCCGAGGAGAGGAAGCAGCATGCAATCAAAATAAATTTTGATTGTTTGGTAGCAGACCAAAAACGCAACAAATCAATTGGTAAATCTGACGAATGTTTTCATTCAAAAATGGAAGAAATCAAGAGAGAGTTCGATACGCACTATGAAGATTTAAAGGAAGACAAGTCGCTTTGTGCTCATTACTATTACCAGTACGGGAGATATCTGTCACGTAAGTCTGAAAGTGAAAAGGATGAAAAACGGTTAGATCTGCAGGTTCAAGCACGTGATCAGCTGGAAAAATCGTTGAAATTAAGGAGAACGTTAACTGACACATCCGTGGGAATAGCAGATACGGTGTTCTCGTTATTGCACCTGGGAAATATATGCAAGATTATTAATGCAACTGAAATTCATCTTCATAAACCAATATGGTTGAGTCGCGCACAAGACTATTACGAAGAAGCTATACAATTGTCCAAAGAGCATTTTGGTGAGCACGAGCTTACATCAGCGTGTTACAAAAGTCTTGGGGATCTATTCTTAAGCCGAATTAAGGACCCTAAGATGGCCGAGAAAAGCTACACCATTGCTAAAGAAATGCGGGAAAACCTGGGCCTTGACGCCAGTGAAAGACACGTTCGTCTACTTAACAACCTGGGCAAAAGTTTGATGATGATTAACCGTCCAAATCAAGCTATTGAAGTTCTGCAAAACGCTCGGGACATGGCGGAGAAACTTGCTGACAGCGACGATCCAAATGAAACCAAGGCAAAGGTATATACATCATTGGTATTTGCACACGAAAAGGTACGAAACTATTCCGATGCCCTTAACTACGCCAGGAAAGCACTGGAATTCAGTCAAATAGAAAAGTGCATTAAACAATATGAGTATCAGAAACTTCAGAAAATTTTACTGATGAGTAAACCTGATGAAAGAACTGATCGTTAAATGAACTTTCTTAAAAGATTTTGAATCCAACGGTTTCACTTTTTGGACATTTCATATACAATCTTATTTGTAAGATGGAACGCCCAAGTAACCTTACAACTATAGACAAGATAAGATAGTTCATTAATCTGACACAATATTTTACTAAAATCAGACACACTGGACATGCATGTGTACAGTATAATACAGTAACAATTATAGCAGCAAGTTTTATAAACCATGTTTATTCAGTGGTACAACTACCAGAGTGATGTTGAAATGTGGAATTTATACATAAAGCATTTTAATTTAAAGGGAGAAAGTAGTACAGCATGAAATATTATGCAGTCCCATACAGTGTAATATATGCAACAGTTGCCCTAAGGGCTCTTGTTTTTAAGGATCTGTTCCTCTCACTATGCCTGGATTAGCTTAATGATTATAATAAGTATCTTTTGAGATTTGTGTTAGAATTAGAATTTAGAATCCAGGATTTTAATTAGGAATAATTAAGAATCATATTTCTAAGCATTAATTAAAGATTCTAAGGTTCATAAGAATAATATCAATATGAAACTGGTTTTTCGTATCTCTGAGGATGGTTCTAAGGTAAATGAATACTGTAATATATGTAAAATAATATGAAATTGTTTTACAATTGATTTCACAAAATCTTGGCCACAAATTTTCTAAAGTTCATTTGGAAAGTTTTAATTTTGCAACAAAACAGTGGCAAACACTTAAGTGATGGGAGGCGGGAGGGGGACAACTGCCTTCCTCCCAATAATTTCTGAAAGCCAACAACAATTTTCAATCATGAAAGCATTGTTACAGACTTACTCATGGCTAAAAAAATCACAAGAAATTTAGATGTAAAGTTTAAAGAAATAAGATTTCCAACAACAAAAGATGGTCACAACTTGGCACCACACATCACCCCCCCCCCCCTGCCGCCAATATTTTGCAAAGTGTCTGCGACTGAAAAAAGTTGGTGAGTTGGTTGGCAATTATAAACATAATTATGAATTTTTCCAATCAATGTTTATAATGAAGCAAACCATCTGATATTGGCTATAAAAGTAACTTACTACAGTATAGCTATATCTAGAAACCTTGCAATCATGAACTCAATTAAATCTCAAAAATGACTGGCTTAGTAGGGGTGTGGTAATGGGGGTAGATGGCACGTTTAACACATATATTGCTGGTTCCGCTTGACAAGCAAATTAATTTGGCATAACCGCATAAGACAAAGTAAAATAATATTATAAATATGTAGAGTGCATCAGGTCGCAATGTCATTCAAAGAGCTAAATAGACATGCATGCAAATTAGTGCCAGGATGAAGCCAGTCAAGTTGTTCACAGAATATATTTATACCAGAATAGTAGGACTGCAGGTTTGATTCCTGCAAGATGACCAAATGAATATAGTTGTATATTTTGCAGCAGCAGTTGTATATTTTCCTGGTTAGAAATACAATGTTTATGCAGGTTTCCACTGAAAATTTCCATCTACAAAAACCCTTCAATATGAGTGAGACGCCCAAAACCCTGATATTTATTTAGCCCATTGAGTGCCATGCAGTGAGTCTCCCCTTGATGAGTAAAACTGTCTGCCGTTGGCCAGAGTAAAACATAGGCACTATACAAGTAAAATGATGTTGCACATGGGTGCTTTAGGGCACAATGCAAGAATTCTTTTCCAGCAAGAATGCTGGATTCTGTGGAATATTAAACAGTCATATATAATATAAACACTCAATACAGAGTTAATATTAATTAGAAGTAGGATCACGGCAAATGTCCTGTCCAGCTCTTAACCAAGGTCATATACTGTAATAAACAGGGCCCCTATAGAAACAAATATTGTCTTTGATTATCGAATCCCAATGATACATAATCTTTGCAATTTGATCAACATGTAATTTCAGGTAATTCAGGACAATATGACTGTGTATATGAACTTGCTTTATACACTTCTCAGTGTATTCACAACCTCCAAACCGCTTGAACGATGTAGTAATTCACAAATATAAACTACACAGTTCTGCTGTTTAAGTTCGCTGCAGGCAACCTTATTAATAGAAATACAAGCGTGATATAATATTGCTGATTAATCATACCTGGTGCGCTCATTTTCCGATCAATTTCAAGAAACCTGATATTCTTTAACTCTTCTTGGAATTCTTGATCTTCTGTGATTAATTTATATTGCCTCGAAGGACGACTTCCTGTATAAATAGAGCTTGATACACGAACACCCGTCCCTAGTTCCAGCAAGAAATTAATCGCTTCACAAAAGACAACTCAAACTATACGTAAACAAAGCTAACTTCAGCAAGCGTATTTACATATATTATAAACGCAAGACAAGTGTGACAATGAACACAAAGCATTTGATAAATATCTTTTGGGTTTTGTGATCCACTGTCGGCCATACACGTGTCTTTTCTAAACTGTATATGTAGACATAATTAGCTACTTCCTCGAATTAATTTTAACAAATTAGTGAAATTACCCTAGCTAAATTACCCCATACTTGAAATTTCCAGGTTTGCAGCTGCAAAGAGTCAATCCTGACTAATTTATTAGCATCAAACTTTAAACTTTCATGTTTATATATTTGAAATTTTGATCAAAATACATCTGTCGTTCACATGTTTGATGAATAATGACAATGTTTACATCAATTTACATGACGTACTAACCGTTTGGAAACTCAGGATGATTTAGTAGCGAAAGTGGTAAAACAACGAAGCCTAAAGCACGAGGTTTTCAAATTAGATATCATTGTACAAAACCGTTGTATAAACTTGCTACGGATATTTGTCCGTATTTTTTTACTGATAACTGAAAAAAATATTTCAACTGAAACCTAACAAACCATAGAATGAAACAACAATTTGAAACTGATGTCACTGATGTCTTACTAAAATATTACCTTTTGAATTTTAGCTGAGCATGGACATAAAATTTTCAGGCACATATACATAACTGTACTGATTTTTTTAATCGAAAGCCTATTTACACAACTACCTATAACCGTACAGACTATATTTGTTTTCTATGCATTTCGTTTCGTCCGTCGATGCCATTAAGGTTAGAAAACGACGGATGTTAAATCGTTGATGCTCGTTATTTTCGTTCTGCATGGAGCGATGATGACCGTTCGTCAAGAGAGCTGGAATGACGTGTTTTCTCAGACTCAGTGTAATTTAATTCGCTTGCAGCTATAAGTGTCACCATTTCGGAACGTCTTTGACCATCTGTTGTTCTACTGCGAAATCCACATATATAGCATAACGCATGGCTAACCATCTACGAGATATATTGTCTTCCACTTCCAGTAAGGGGGTGTTCATTATTTATACCCGCGGGGTTGGCACCGAAGAGAAATGGGTTGGGTAAGCCATTTTTCTGGGGCATGAAGGGTTGGATAAATATTTTTTGAACAAAGCCTATGGTTGGGTAAATTATTTTCAATACAAACCTTCAATTGAACAAAATATGAAAATCCTTTATTTAACAAAATCGTCATTCCAGGAAATATCCATTCATTCCCCACATAGAAAACTAAACTCCAACTCCCCATCCCATGATTACAACGAGATATGGTAGGACTGCAGAAACGTGGAGGCTTGGGAACATAATATGAACTTGTGAAGGTACAAATGATTATATTTGACATTCAGTTAGTGCACCAAATATGCACAGTACTGTTTATACTATAGTGGCCTAGCTTGTATAATAATATATATGTATATATATGGAAATATTTTGAAATTGGGTTGGGTAAAATAAAAATCCAGGTCATGCAATAGTTGGGTAGGGAAAAAAATGGTTGATCGAAAGGGTGGGTGGTTGTTTTTTTCTCTTTTCGATTAATTTCTCTTCGGTACCAACCCCGAGTATAAATAATGAACACTCCCTAATCCACTGCAGCCTAAGAAGAACTGACGCTTTCTTTGTTCAGCCCTCGTGAGATTTCTTGTAGCCTTGATGAATATTCCAACCTTGCTACTAGCGATGATGTTCCTAGTGAAAAGAAAAGTATACACTACATCAATTTTCCTTATCTCTTTTTCAATTAAATTCACTTTATCTAAACGGAACGTCTGCAGAAAGAATTCTTTCACGTTTGCATTGAAGTTGAAAGACTGAAGGTCAGGGCCTTAAGAAAACGTTCTGGGGGGGGGGACATCTACAAAAAGGGACCATACTATACTGAGTGTAAAGAGATGACAGATGGTTGTTGGTGACAAAAAATTTGATGTGGTGTCGTATGTAATATTTGGGGAGTCTGGGGGCATTCTCCCCCAGAAAATGTTTATATTTTTTCACCCCTAGGACTGCATTTCGTGCGTCAGTTAGGGCGTTAAATACTTGCATGGTACAGTATGTTTATGTATAAATACCATAACTTGGTCACTAAGTTATTTAGCTTAGCCTTCCAACAACTCAAATCTATAGGGTCTGAGATATTGCTATCCACTTAGAAATTTTCAAGATTTAAGGTATTTTTACAACACATTTTTGAAGTCATTAAATCGTTTGAAGATAAAAGACAAGACATAAGATTCACAAAACAAATTTCCGAATCACTAGAATATATCAAACTTCCCTTTTAAATTCCATTTTTCTTTTAATATTTTGCTTATGTTGTGGAGAAAAGGACTTTGACAGGGGGGCAAAATGGTTGAGTAAGGGCACCATGAGTGCTTTGCGCCACTCCCCCAGTATTATTAATAAATATAGGTTATCATTTTACAACTTGATTAAGCAGGTATCTGGTTACATGTCTACATTTGGAAAACAAGTCAGAGCGTTTGTTCAGGCATTCAGTTTTCTTCGCTTTCTTGACAGAAAACCGAATGCCTGAACAAACGCTCTGACTTGTTTTCCAAATGTAGACATGTAACCAGATACCTGCTTAATCACGTTGTAAAATGATAACCTATATTTATTATGAATATTGAATAATATCTGTCAGTTGCCTGATGATCGCGTAAAGCGTGAAACTCAGAGTAGCGACGCAA